TGTGCAATGTCCTCTAGCTGTGCATATCTCTTATCTGATGGAAGTCTGTACAGAAGCTGAAACTCACTGGGAAACATCAAGTATGGATGTGGCACTGGGTATGTAACACTTCTGTCACTGCCTGTGGCATTTATTTTAGTCAGTTTTGAGTTGAAATCAAAACTAATGTTCCTATATAGCATATGACAGTAGTTCCAGAGAATCTACAATAATGTGATGATATATATACATTTTACTCTTGTGGGAAGTTGTCAAGTCAGCTATTAGTTGAATGGGGAGAACTATTTGAGGAGTTTACATTTGAAGTTATAACATCTAGCTCTCTTAATAAAGTTTTAGAAGAAGCTTGGCTATACTGTAAAACAATATGTAGTCTGTAACAAGCACCATTTGGATTTTATGCTTGACTTCAAGCAAATTCATTAAAGGAAAAATATTTTAAAATTGTTTTGTACCACTTGAGTTTTAAGGAAGAAATTTATAATTCTCTGCTAGACTACAGCATTCTTGTGGGATCTCAGATGGACTGACAGGATGATTTCTGTACAGAAGCTACAAGTCCTGTTGCTGCCCTGCAGATGCAATCCCTATGTGGGAGTGCTGCTGCTCAGGACTCAACTGGAGCCCTATCCCACGAGCCAAGGAGAAACTGTAGGGCACAGCCAGCAAGCCTGCATGTCTGGATCCTTCCCAGGGGATCCCTTGGGTAACCTTGCCCTGGTTTTGCCTTTCAAGCAACATGTGCCCAGCTTGCCCTTCTCTCCAGTCCTTCACCCTCAAGGTCCTGGTGGAATTTCAGCCCTTGTGGAGCTGCAAGCAGCCTGTCATCAGTTGTGTCAAGCATCAAGCCGTATGGTGAACTCATGCTTTCCAGAGAGCATCGACTGCAGCCTGCTACCCAACAGCATTGCATATATCAAACTGATGCTCTGCAAAACTGCCACAGCATGCTTCTTGCCATTTGTCTCTGGTCCCTCTTGGATTTGGGGACTTTTGTTTCCTGGGTCCAAAGGGAAACAACCAAGAAATGTAGAAGGTATACAACTCTTGTATCAGGGCAGATCTCACTGTGAGAAACAGTTTCCTTTGTATGAAAAACAAGATTTTCTTTTGAATGTAAACCAAATGTGTTTTATTTGGGTTATTTCTTCCTGAGACAGTAACATTTGAAACAATGGCTGTGAATTGCCCCCTTGCTCCAGATCCCAGTTGTGCAACACTGCAGGTGAAATACTGGCAAAACTGTTTGGATTTAAACTACTATCTAGCAATACTTACTGGAAATCCTCAATAACCATTGCGCCTTTAGGACTTCTAATCATTGGGTTGGTGCTCCTTCCTATTTGGCTACCAAAATATTATTTCCTGTAATTGGTATATTGCACTTTTGTTCGATTTTTTTCCCACTATATAAAATCAATATCCTAAGTAGTTTTTAAGTCTAAAAGCACTGTTTTTTTATTGGCAAATGCAGCATTTTCAGAATTAAATTCTGCTGTGATGATGTTGCTGTGCAAAATGCAGTCCTAATTCAGTGGTAGAACTTCTTGGTGTGTCAGTGGAAACTGTTCTTGGCTGGCTGTAGTCTTTATTGAATAAATGACCACTTCTGCACAGCAAACAACTTTTGAGTCTGCAAAAACTGCAAGCTGGTTAATTTTCTGGCTTGGTTAATGTGAGAAGTCCTAAGCATATTGATTAATTCTTCAATTTCTACTGCAAAGCAGTATCATGGCAAAGGTGCTGTTCTTTCAGTCATTAGTTACCAATTTGGTCATCTTTTTCATAGAAATGAATCAAGTTATAGATGTATTGCACAGAATATTCCACTAAAACTAAATAGTACTGCTGTGCATAGAGGGTCTTGCTTCACTGCAGGTTGGGAGTACTTCAGATGCTCTGTAAACTAGTTCATATCGTATGTCTGTGCTAAATATAGCCAAATGCTGAAAGGCTTCTCAGTTGTAGGTGAAGATCTGAAGGACATGCAATGCATGAGAGCAGATGAATCTTTCTATGTCTTTAACTATCCAATTCCATTGATACAATCCATACAGAGAGTACTGCTAATGTCAACTCCACGTTGTTTAGTACTCACACTGGGGCTGTGGTCACTGATGCTTCATGAAAAGCTTCAAGTTAGCACATGACCTTAAGAACTCTCAGTGTATGCTGTCTGGCACATTGTGTTAAAGCCATTTCTACTCTGACCTGCCCAGTTGTGGCTCATTCTTAGGACACAACCACCTTTTTTTTTTTTTCTTTAACTCCAAAGGTTACAACTGGCATTTTAGCCACCACTCTTGCAATGTTGTGCTGCTTCTGCAGAATATTTCTGCTGGATATACTTAGTGTTTTGTGAAAGCTTTGTACTTGTCAGCAAATAAGAGATTAGCAGCAGTCTTCACTTAAATATTATTTATTAAATAATCAGGATGTTTAAAACCCAAATTTTAAAAATCACATGCAAACAAACAAACAAAAAAAACCAGTCAAAACCAAACCACCCTAAAGCCACCAGCAAAAACACTTTGCCTTGCAAATTCCAAGCTGTTATGGCCATTCCTGCTTCTCCGTGTACCTGCTTCCCTACTAGATTTTACTTAGCGAGGATGAGAATAGAAGAACATGGGGCAAGTTAAGGGGATTGACAGGTCTGTAAAAGAAGAGAAACATAATGCAGGATAGAAAGGTTGGTGGGAGGAATGACTTGTTACTTTGGAACAGCTTCTATTTTGACTGTTTGAAGTTGATTTAAAGGAAAATGGGCAGCAGGGGTGCTGATGGATTGAATTTTGTCAGAGAACGAGAAATTATGATCAAGAATGTATAATGAGAGGCATCAGGAAAATGACTGGATATCTGAAGACTAGCGTGAAGCTTGAGAACACTCTTGAAGAGCACAAACCTTATTGGGTCTATGTGAGCAGATAGACAGACCTAGCAGGAGTTGACAAAGTATCTTTTGTTCTGCATAATACATTACTGCCTTTCTTCCTATACTGATAGTATTTCTATCAGGCAGGATTAATATTTCAATCAGAGGGAAAGTTCCTCTGAATAATCATGGACCACTGTTTCATAGCTTCAAGATACCAAAATGTATGAATGTACCCTTTAAATGGTACCAGTGGACAAAACCAGTTTAGCAGAATTCCAGGAAACAGAGAAGGTGATCAGATTTGTAACCCCTATCTAGTCAAATAACTTGAACACTGATGAGGATTGTTGAACACTGAGCTCTGACATTCACAGGCTTGTGTGTACTTACCTATTCAATCAAGTCTTACAAAAAGAAGTACCTGAACCTTGACCTTGCAAGGAAGTGCCATAATAAATGTACTATTTGTTTTTTCAAGTTCCAGCTCCTTACTTTTATTTTGACCTGGAAGTTTATCCTTCCTTATACAATAACATATGCTTTTGCTAAATAATTTAGTTGTGATTAAATAGAAAAAAAAAAATCCCCAAAGTCTCTCTTTGAAAGGTAATGTCTAATTTACCATTAAGAAAGAACTTAATGGTATTCTTACAAGTTCCTAAAGAGGAAATGACTGAGTATTGATCTCATGGAAAAGCATGCACAGGCTTTGTTCACAAATGGCAATGGATAAGCAAATTGTAACTAAGTATATAACTGACCATGTGTGGAGTTGAAAACCTTGTGAGTAGCCTGACACTTTTGGCAATGAATGCTTTCTTAATGAAGCTACAAATGAGAGTCTGATTAAGTTATGAGAGTGTGCTGGACTGTTCAAACAAGGGGCTTATTGCTATTCTCATTGGCATATTCAAATATATAGCTTTGTTTTGTTTGATCATACCTTTAATCTTAGACAGTAAAGTACACTTCGTTACTTGCAGTGTGTTAGTAGCTGGTGTTTGTCACTGGTTGGTGTTTGCTTAGCTCTTACTTACGTGAATTTCATCCTGGCAGTTGCTGTAAAATAGAGTGGGGAAAAAGACACATGCATTTGCAGAACACTCTGTCTAGGGCATTGCATGTACCTCTAAGTCCCTAGAATACTGAATGACATTTCTGGACTATGTTAAATACCTTGGTTATCTAAGTAGAAGAAGGGTTTTATTAGTAAAAAACAAAAACAAACAAACAAAAAAAAAAAAGGATCAGTGTTCTACTACTGAATACAGTTTGCTTAAAACTTACCTAACAAAAAAATTCACAAGTTGACAATTACAATAGGAAGAACTGTGTTATCAAGACACTGTATAATTCTGTTGGAGTACCTCTGTGTGTTATGTGCTTACAAATGGTCTGAAATTGAAGCTGGAGAGAACAGCACAATGTCCTTAAAGACAGGACAACAAGGATGGCCAGAGTTTATAAGTAATTAAATAGATAAGGATTTTTCATCTTAGCAAAGCAATGCCTAGGGGCAAGGAAAAAAAAGAAGGGTTTGAAAGCCATTGAAGCTTTCCATTGAACCAACACTGAGGAGTGCATTGCTGGAGGCTGAGAGTTTGGAGAAAACACTAGCATTGCTGTCTCAAGCAACCGTTTACTCGCATCTAGGGCAAACTACGTGGGTCAGTGTACTTGTTAGGATTAGCTGTCGTGTTTTGGGGTAGTCTGATGGTAGTGTCATGGTTTGAACATCTTATGGGAAGTCAAAATGTCTTGCACAACTTCAGGATGTCCAATTTATGCAGTGGAACTGCTGTTCTACTTTACTTCTTCCATATCTTAGAACCTCAGTTACCAAGATGTAACTGATTAAAATTAATGCTTCTTGATTACTGTAACTTTTATATTATGCTGCTGCTTCAGCCTAGAAACAGTCTAGCAAGTAGCCCAGTAGAAGGCAAAACCTGATGGTTTATACCTTTGGAAGTGATAGTATTCCTTCAGTCAAAAATGCCTGCATGATTGCTTGCAAACATATAGTGCACGCTATTTTTGCTTACTGTATCAAGTGTTTAACATGGTTTCTGACTTCTAAAATACCTTTGACTAAAGTGTACAAATATTGCTTAGCTACCTTGTGGAGTGGGTTTGTTTATGATTTGGAAATTTGTTGGGGTTTTTTGTTCTTTTGTAAACATCTTCAGAGTACACTTGCTGGTGATACTGTGTATTCTGAAGCAAGCAGTGTCATGAGCATATGAGAACTTAATGTAATGCACTTTTAGGAGTAGATTGTGCATGTAATGTTATAAATGTTTGTGCAAAGTTGTTACAGGAGCTTACCTTAATCTTCTAGAATAGTTTGAATTAGCTTGGTAATAGGCTATTTTACATTAAAATGTGACATTACTGAGGCAGCAGAGACAGCTCTGAAATCTGCAATTCTGTGTAAATGCAGCATTACCTGAACTATTTTGTGTTTTCCTAGTGCTTTCTTATGGGGCATATTCAAACAATACTGAACAGCATATTGGGAGGATGGCTGGTTGCTGTGGATGATGCCATCAATGCCAGATGTACATGCTGAAAAAGTCATATGTCTGTGCTGTGTTCCAGGACATGGTCAGGTAAACTGGTTGTAGTGTAATGCATTCATATATGAAATGCTTTCTATGGTTTTTAATTTCAGCGATAGTGGTAATTATGACCGTGTAATACAATTTTCTGTGGGAATGCTGATGCTGCATTTTGCCTGGTATCAAAGCATGTTCAGTTAATTAGAGCACTGTAGACTGCCTCCCTGCATGTCTGGGCACACCCTCTGCTTTCAGATTTATTCCCCACCCCATGTCCCCCTTCATACAGGCTTACAAACAGCTGATGGGTTTTAGTAAATACTCTGTGATGATTAGCTTGAAAGAGTCAAGTTCCAGATGAAGTACTATGAAAAGTAAAAAATTATTAATATCTGCATTGTGACACTAACACAAACGAACTTGAATTCTTGTAGTAATTTGTCAACCTGTGAGTTGAATTATGTATTGTAATTATCTGGCTTTGATTTCTGTTTACCTCACATGAATAAGTGACTGCACACTCCTGGACACCTCTTGTTGGTTAGTAGAAGTGACAAGATCTTGCTCTAAGCTCTGTTCTGTATGTTGTAGTGTATTTAGTGTATTTCTCCTGCATCTGGGGCTGTTGGCAGCCAATCCCTCTTCATTTTAGGACAGTCTACTTGCGAAGCTTCTTTTGTTGTGGGTTTTATTTTGTTATTGGTTTTTTTGTTTGGTTTCATTTTTGTTTTGTTTTTTCTTTTGTTTTGTTTTTGTTTTCCCAGTGGTATTGCTGTTATCCCAAGCTCTTACTTCAGTTGAGGAAGGGGAAAACTTAGAGCTCAGATAGTGCAGACGTTTTCTGCAGTGTGTAGCACTTGAAGTATGCAACTCAAATTTTGTATGCTGAGCTTTAACCAAGGCAAAACCAGCTAAACTGTTTTGCACTGCACTGTAGTGTGTTGTGGAGGCCAGGCATTCATAATGCTTGATGTAAGAAAAAGTCAAAGCAAATTTATTAGTATTTAGTTTAGAAAATTCCTGAAGTCACTAGTTGCCAGGAACAGTGTGTTCTCGGCGAGGGCAACTGTTGTGTCTGTGTGTCTGCTGCTGACCCCCCCATGGTGGAGATGCTGGGCTGAGGTTAATTTTTCATTCAGCCTTCTATGGCAAATCTAAAACTAATTAATTTCTTTGTTACATGGGAAGTTATGGAGTGTCAATTTGTTAAAGAATAATGTTCATCTAGGTTACAGATTTTTAAATACCATAGCTGATCCTTAGGAATACCTCTCTTTTTATGCAGCATGCTTTCAAGACTCTAAATGTGAAGTTGTATTTTAAGCTGGTCTACTTGTTAATGAAAGTATTGATTACTATAGTGAAAATTTGCTTTAAAAATAGTTGAATTAGTAATTTATTTCTACACATGCTCTGGCTATGTGAAAGTCCAGCGCACTAACAGACATATATGTATATGTCCACTTTGGTATGTGCAACTTTAATATGCTTCATTATTTATCTACTCAGTATCAAATCTGCCGCCTTTTTTTTTTTTTTTTTTTTTTTTTTTTTTTTCTTTTTTTTTTTTTTTTTTTTTTTTTTTTTTTTTTTTTTTTTTAGCTTCTTCAGCATCAGTTCAATCAAACTTTACTTTTGTTTTGTTTTAAATTTTGGCATTGTTAGCTACATATAGTAGCTATACAGTAGCTACTGTAAGGTAATGCACCATTCTTTAAATTCTTGGGATTTTATTCTTGCTAAGTCTTGAAGTTGCCTATTTTCTGCAGAATGAAAGCTCTTGAAAGAGGTAAGACTTCTGGTTTGATCTGAGATACTGCTGAGTCAAAATGGAATCTTAACTCTTGTGTCACTAGGTGAGCAAGCTGTGCTAAGGGCTAGTATCTATCCAGACAAGTAAAAGCAAGTTTCCATGTGTCAAAAGAACAGTGAAACCAAAGTTTGCAAATACTTTTCAGCAGTTGATTCTGTGATTGACTTAAACTAATGGAAAATTATTCATAATAGATTCTTGCCCTGCCTTCAGGAAAGACTTTTTTTGAAGAACTCTTCAATCTGCCTTAAGTTTCCTAATTAAAGGTGAAAGTGAGGGTACTACAGTTGTTTATGCTTCTTTAGGGATTGAATAATACTAAGCAAAATATATAAATCAGCCTTGAAGAACTAGGAGATGTTTTAGCTAGACAAGTAATTTCATATTGGGAATGGGAAGGGGACAGAGGAAGGTGTGCTGTCTGATCTCAGTAGATTTTGTTTCCTTATTTCAGGGTCTTTTTACCTTCAGTCTGAGTCAGATGTTCAAATACCATGGAAAGACAATGTTGTGGGCCAGAAGCCACTCTGTGTTTGGTTCATAGTGAACAGAAAAATTCTTGACGTTCTAGAGTAGTCTTACTTTGGATGCTGCTGTCTTGTACTCAGAACTGTTTATGGGCCCTGCAGCTTTATACTTTTCATTAGTATGATAAAGGCTTTATTTTGAATGTGGTCACTTAAGTGTGTTTTCAGCTGAAGAAAGTAAGGTTTAAGGAAAAAAGTGAATTTTGAATAATGCAAGAATTAATCTACCTTTCCCTACTTAGTATGCTGGCTTCATTTTATGCTTTCCAAAGTATTTGTGCATGAGTTTGTTTTCTTTCCCCTACTGTGGTTTCCAGAATGGCTTACATGGTTTCTGTGAGGATTTAAACTCATTTGTTAAAGAAAAAAATCAAGAGTTGCTTCTCAGAACAAACTTTTTTTCCCAAAGAAGTCTTTGATTCCTCTACAAAAATATGATTACAGAATTATTCTTCAATGTATCTAATCAACATTGCTATACCAGAAATCTAATATTAGTATTTTTAATATTATCATCATCTTTTCTGACCTTGTTGCAACTGTCTTGTATTGCATCCTGTATTGTCACCATAGTTGAAACAGTGAAATAATTTTGGACTTTAATGTAATTATTATGTGAATGATGAGTTATTCTGCCCACTGTCCATACTTAATCCTGATGTACATGTCCTGCTGCACTAAATTTCAAATACATCGTTATATCAGTATCCTTGTTTGAGGAGACCACACTCTGATGTCTGCATTTTTGTTTGAACACCAGAAGCCTGTTTGCTCATTGTTTTTGATGACAAGTGTCCCCCTTCCTGCTCTTTGATTGGAGAGTATAATTTGTCATTCCAGACAGGTAAAGGTGTTCAAGAGGTGGTAATTTTCTTCAGTTAGGAAGCTGACCTTTGTCCATGAATGCATCTTCAGCCAGATTGCCTTGTCAGATCCAGTGAACTTCTTCCCACCCATTCAAGTTTTAACTGCTCTGAAAGCCTTCTCGCAGATTCCTTACCCACTGCAACCATATGTTATAAATCTGAAGTTCTTCCTGCCTCTGGTCTCATTAGAGGTACTAGGATCCTTTCATATGGAGCACTACAGAGGTCATCCAGCTGCTTTGGACTGTTTGATCTTCTCTCTCATTCACATCCTTGTGGTTTTGGTACTTGGGTGCAGTCTTAGTGCTTGTTAGGAGCTTGTCACTGTATATTGTAAGGGCTCTGTGCTGTTTTTTGTTTGTGACTCTCCACCCCATGTGTGGTCAGTTGTCCTCCATCGTCTGTCCACGTCAATCCCACCCGGTCACCTTTCCATTGGGTTTTGGGTGAGGCTATATGGCTCTGCTCTGCTGGAGAGGACACTGGAACTGTTTTGTCATCTGGCTAATCTCGTGTCATCTTTCTGGAAGATGGAGGCAGTTAACTGGTATGGAATTGCTTTCCAGTGACTCTGAAGGTGTCCCACGTGCGTCTACGGTTGGCTGCCTCACCAGCATGGGGGCAGTGTACTGCTTTAGCCCCAGAGCTGATCACAAACCTCCCTTTCCTCTCTCTATTTCAATTCAGATACCTTAAATAACACTTTCAAAATCTTCATCTGCCTCTGCTATGTATTCCTGCCTTGAAGGGCAGGAAAAAGGCCTTCAGTGCAGAGAAACAACGGTCTCTAGGGCTGTTACTGCTCTGCATCAAGGGATGAGGACTGAAGTTTTTCTTCACTGGCATTCTGAGTGTCGCTTCTATGTTGCTGCTCTGATGTATGAAGTCTAGAAACTTAGGAATACTTACTGTCTTAAAATCCTGGTTTGGCTAACTTTTTAAAATTTCTTTTTAATTCCAGAACATTTGAATCTTCTTGGAAACATGAAAACAAAGAACTGCTTTTTAAATATCTTTCAGAACAATTGACACATTCCAGGGAAAAGCAGTTGGGGTTTTTTTCTGCGAAGTTCAGAAGAATCTGCATTCTCTGAGATTTTAAAGAATTATAAAATGAAAACAGTTTAAAATTTACCTTTCAAAATGAATATTGGGAAGTCCGATGACAAAGCAAAGAATGGCTTGAAGTCTTCCTTGCTTATAAGGGATGAAAATGGAAATAGCTATGCATGTGACAGAGGTGCACCTTCCTCAGAGAATTGTGCCACCAAGATACATGGTAATTCAACTGCCCAAAATATAGTGGCTGAGCATGAAGGTGATACCATTTTTGAAAATAAAGGTGACTTCAGAAGTCTTTTAAAACAGCAGTGTATTGAAGTACTTGATCTGCAGAAGACACCTGGTAAATACAGCTGCACAGGAGCTCCATTGGGAGATACAGATGCTGCATGCAATTCTTCTGTGACTGAACAGACTTCTACATGTCCTTTGAACTGTGGTTTGGATGTAATGACAAGCTTAGCAAAAGGTGATTTTTCTATGGCAAAAATGCAAAATCAGAGTATCGAACACTCAGTGCCTTACAGTCAGACCGACTCCAAGTCTGTATTAACTCTTTCTGCTTCAGAGCAGAACATGCAGTCCCTGAAAAATGACAGGACATGCTGCCAGCTGAGCACATTAGATGTTACTAATGTTACAGGTGAGAATCTGAGAACTGATTTAAATGATGACATGCATCTGGGAGAAATGTTGATCTCTTCTGAAGTATGTGTCACAGAGAAATTTGATAGAACCAACTCAGAAAGAACACCTAATTTCACCTCTGCAGGTGTTGAACACGATCAGAAAAACACTATCAAGAATGATAATGAATCACAGGAAACAGATGCACAGGCTGTAGAACTACCTGCTGGATGTACAGATCATTATAAGCGAGATGTATTATCACCATGCATTAATAGTAATGAGGATGACCAAGTGAAATCCTTGCAGATTACTCCTTTCCAGGATGAAACTGGGAATTCCAGTGTTGAAGTGTGCATGGATAGGGATGTAAATAGTGTGCACCTTCTCCCAGATCAAATGGATGGAGAACAAGTATCAAACAAAACTAGTGAACCTTTAACCAAAGAACAGCGTATTTCTGGAAATGCTGCTTTTCAGAATATGCACAACATTCCTTCTGTATCTTGCAGTGTTTCAAAATTAAAGAAGACGGTTATGCCTGAGCTGAAATGCGAAGCAACTTTTGTGGTCTTCAGTCCAACAGCTGATGAAAGCAATTCATCTCTATATACTTCAACTCCTAAAGAACGATCAAAAAATAGGACTTTTTCTGTTTCAGCTTTGGAAGAACTTGGAGACAAGTCTTCTAGACTAAGACAAAGTGAAACATTTATAGGAGGGCATAACAGGTCTGGGCTTAAAGCTAATTCAGATCAAACTGCAAGAAAACCAATGGGAAGGCCTCCTATTGCATCAACAACCAAAGCAAAGAAATCAGAGATAGTTAGTTTTCCCAAACCTAATTTTAAAAATGTTAAGCCAAAGGTTGTGTGTAGACCTGTGCCACAGCCAAGAGACAGTGCAGCATTAAAACAGTCTCCCCAGTCCCATCAACGATCATCTGTCTCCTCACCTTCAAGGGTTGGTTCCCCAAGGCAATTGTCCTCCTCTGTAAATGTGCTGAAAAAAACAGTAGATTCAGCTAAAGATTCTAAGGTGGACTTGCCTGTAAATAGGCCCTATAAGCTACATGTTAACAAACACCTTTTCACTAGCCAAATCAGTCATGCCACAACACATCCCAGAAACACTTCCCATAAGGTTTCAAAAACACCTGCATTAAAGTTAAGTCTGAAAGACACTGACGAAGCAAGTGCTACCCCTCCAGTGTGCTGCTTGGCTTCTGCTGTGCTTCCAGCATCTGGAGAGAAATCAAAAGAGATACTAAATGATAAAATGGAAAGTTCGAACTCCTTAATGATGCCTTGTACTCAAAATACTGACCTGACCAAAGGTGAAAAAGAGCAATGCAGCAACATAGGAGTGCTTCTGGAAGCAACATTGGTAAAAGATATGGCAAATGAAACATTTGAAGTGCACTCTGTTCCTTTGGTAAGTTTTTTTGCTTTCATACCTGTATGTTTTTGTACATTTGCAAAAAAGAAAATTCAGTATTGTACAATGTGAAAATTGTGGAATGAGTTTGGTGTCTACAAGTGTAACTTAGTGTTGATTTCTATTTGAAGTCTCTCCCTAGTAAAGACGGTGAAGAAGTATTGTTTTACAGATGAGTTGCAGTTGGCTTCAATTGCAATTTAGTGTCTCCACCTTCATCTTGTTCCATAACATAATTTTTTTAGTAAAGTCCTTTTTTAAGGCATTATAGTTTGTAAGATGTTTAATAAAAGCAAACAAGTCTTAATTTAGTCAACCTCGTAAAATTGCCTAGCATAACTTGGTGATGTTTTCCAAATACAGCTTTTAATGTACATTTTTTTCAAGATTGTTCTAGTGATGCTATGATTTCAAATAGACATTAGAGATAAATTGGTGGGTTTGGAATTTTTTTTCTTTCAAAATGTGCTTTACAACTAAAGTAGACTTTTTAAAATCAGTTGTGTAAATGTTGTGCATATATTATCAGTAACATTAAGTCACACAACCCAGAGACCAGTAAGTTGGTGAAACATTTTGTTTTTAACACCTTAATTTCACTGTCTTCTTTGTATAATTTGGGAGTTTATTTGTTTGAAGTAGAGCTGGGACTCATTAGAATAGTTGGGAATAGTCAGGAAATATTTCCATGCAGAGGGCATATACCTGGTTTTAGGCAGTCAGCCAGCTGGAAGGTGCAAACTTCCTGGCCAGGAGGTATGCATGCACTGGTTGGTTGGGAAATATTTTGGGATGAGTCAGCTGCCTGTCAGGAGAAATGTGCTGCTTTCAAATACACTGAAAGAAGGTTAAAAGAAAAGGAGGAGGGGAAAGAAGGGAAGAGTGTTTGGGTTGGGTTGACAAGGATTTCAGGAGCTGTGGTAGGGACACAGTTGGAGTCTTGGTGTTTTTTGGAATCTCTCCTGTTGCCAGCTTGTGGGTTCAATATCTTACATTAAATTGGTGAAATGGAGGCAGCAGCTGTTTACTACTGCTAATTAAACTTTCATCTGAATTTTTGACCTTACTAATTTGCCAGAAAATCTCCAGCGAAGCTCAGTATATGGGGGAAGCTACTTTTTTGAAATATTGCACGAGCAAATAATAAGTACTATTATTTGATTAATAATTTAACTGGAAAACCTAAGCATGAAAGCAAGAATGGTCTTTTTTAATTCTACAGTCTTTAAGAGTTTGCATTCTTTATTGGTCCTTGCTTTTGGTATTTTATGGTATTAGAGAGAATGTTTTTAATTCATTCCATTACCAAAAAGGAAAACTTTGTGATTTTAATTGTTCTGCTTGTACCTGGAGAAGCAATAGAGAAATTTCTCTAAAATGCACAGTAGAAAAATCAGTGGTCTTCTTAAGTGGAAAAGTGCAAATTAACATCTAAAAGTGAAGATGAGGATTGTATTCAAAAATTGAAAGTTTGGTACTCTGACCAAACTGCTGAAGTCAGCTTGAGTCACAGAAAAGCATGTGAAGAGCTGAACTGTGAAGTGTCTCTTTATAGGCTTGACAGGGGTGGCCGTGAACTAAAGCCTGTATAAACTGGAGTAAGAATTCTGTGTGAAACATAGATGTTTCACACATATAAACCAGTTATTTTATACCTGTCCTAAATCTACTCCTGTGTTTATGTTTTATCTATGGCACCTCAATGTAAAGGATTTTAAGCTGTTGTGACATAAGACCTAGACCAGGAAATTAATTATAAGGACTGTGACATTTCAGGTAGTATAGGACAACTTAACTTTTCAGGGTCTTAACATGTGTAGTTTGTTGGTTAAGATCTTGAGAGTAAGTGTAGTCATGTAATTGAGTGTTTCAATTTGAGTTTGGGGAGGAAGAAATTGTGATGTTAAATGACCTCTGTAACCTCTTTTCAGTGTGTTGGTCATTACTAGTGATTAGCTTCAAACTAATAGGTTTGCATTGCTGAAGATTCAAGAGATTGTTCTTGAGATTCTGAACTGCAGATGTGGACAATGGGATAAAGACTAAGCATGTTTCCTACTTGGGTGGTCAGTATTTCATTACAGATGCTGCAGAGGGAGATCTTTAGTTTCTCACAGTGGTGGTGTGTGGCTTTTTGGTTTCTGTTTTTTTCTTAAAACAGATGCCTTCTGTGAAAGATGGGACAACACAAGGGAAAAACATACCAAAGAAAGACCAAATTACACCACGAAGTGTATTAACTCCCAAGGTTAAAATGGTGCCATCTGTGTCAACCTTGAAAAGAGGATGTGAAAATAAAACTATCAGCACTATTAAAACACCTTCTCACAAAGAAGCTCTTATGTCATCAAGCTCTGGTAAGAGAATTTTTCACTGGAATATTACCACTTAACCAGTTTCTTGAAGTTTTCTTATCATACTTAATTTACTTTCTGACACAAATTCTAGGGTGGTACAGAGCTATATGTCTGTGTTAAATACAATACTGTCTAAATTGTAAATTGCTAATACAGAGTGTAGTGCTATTAGAAAAATCAATATTAAATATTATTTATATTTGGCTATGTTATATTATTTTGTGAAATTAAAACTAAAATTACTTGAAAGAGGGAAAAAAAATAGAGTGCTCAGGTACAGTGTTCTTTGGATAAGCAAGCTATCCCAATGGGAATAGCATGAGTCCTTATTTCAGGACATAACATATTTTGTTCAACCTAATTTTAGTACAGCTCTGTAGTTTCTAGAAAGGGGAGAACATAATTGAAGGTAAGACTACTGCTTGAGCTGCTAATTAAACTCAGACTGATTAATAGCAAGGGCAGGGATGAATCTCTCATCTAGTCTGTAGGCTGCTGCTCAAATCTCATGACTAGAAACTAGATTCTGTAACTGTATTATAGAGATTCTCTGGTAGGTTATGTGCTGGGTTTTTTTAACCAAGTGTGGCAATCTAACTCGTTGCAAAGGTAGCTTGTCTATGAATGACTATACTACAGTGCACTGTAATTAGGAAAGTACACACCCTGCTATACCCAGTAAAACCTGTTCTTTTTTTTTTCTTTTTTAACCCACTCAATCTAAGATTATAAAACAGTAAAAAAAAAGTCCCCTTAATTATATACAGGTGGTGAAGTGTGATAAAATCTGTATATGTATTCCTTTATGGAATGAGTCTCTCAAAGAAAGTGGATATAGGCTATTCTCCCATTTGAGGCTTGCTCTTGTGAGGCACTTGCTGAGTGAACCAGGTACCAACCTGTAGGCTGCCAGTTTCTTGGAGAACTCATCACCCCTCTTAATACCAACCCAGAGCTTTCCTGTCCTCTCTGTAATTATGGCCTTAGAAGAAGAGAGATGGATATAGATACAGAGTTTTCCTTTAGGTTATTAATCCAGATAAGATTTATGATACTGTCACTAGAAATAAATGTAAACATAGGTGAGTTATAGAACTAACTTCTTTCCATCAGGAAAAAAAAATTAGATTTACTTTCAGAAGAAACAGAAGTCATTTGCTGTTGAAAATAAAAACATTTACTCCTCAGATTTTTATTTTTTTAATAAACCTGTCACTCCTTAGCCAATTGATGTATGTTGAAATGACAGTAGTCAGTAGAATATTTTCCAAATTTTTGGTACTGGAAAAAGGCTGCTTAAGCTAAAAGCACAAAGCAGCACTTTAACATTTCAAACTTATGATGTGATCTGGTAAGACTGGAACTTTAATGCTGTACATGAGAAGAAATTTATTTTCTCCAGCTTTATTATAGAAGAAATTTATTAACTCCTCCTTTGCCTTTTCCCCAGTCCTCTGTTCTTAGTTCACTGTTTCTAGCACATATTACCCTTCAGCTTGCTTATGCAATGTTTTAGTGCTACAAAGTAGGGTTTCAACTGTATCAGGTTAACTTCCCCATCCCTTACAAAGGGAGTTTTTAAACGTGTGTCCTTGTACTGATGCAAATCAGAGGATAGGATTATGGGGTGGGATATGGGGCAAAGGAGGAATTATTTGGAATTGCTGCTAAACCCCCACAGTATTATGTGACCACACCTTTCAAGTAAAACCATATCTACTGCTGCTTACCCCTTCTGTTTTTAACATTTTTAACATAACCTTTTTGTGATGAAGTGGCAGTTTGTAAACTAAACCCAGTTACCTCTTTAGGCTAAAGCATTCCTGAAAGGAATAATAGTTTTTTACAGTGGCGTCATTTAAACGTTTTGGTATTAAACTTCAGCCCCCAGATAAATCACTCAGTAGCTGTACAGTTGTTTGCTGTCAGGTTTTTGTTAGACTACAGACAGCCTAGCTAAATCCAGAAAGGAAAGGACTTCTGAAGGTTGCCTAGTCCAGCCCCTGCTGCCTGTAACTGGGTCATTACTGAATTTGGACTAGCTTGTTCAGTCGTTTGTCAAGTTGAATTTTAAAAATGTCTGAATCCTAATGAACTTGTTTCTTCCTGAAGTACTAACATATGTGCAGCTATTTCTTACCCAGTTACTGATAGTATTTGGATCATTGGGCAACAAGAGAAGTTTGTGTAGTTGAATGCATTAAATATTGTGAACAAGACAAATAATAGTATAACTCTATGTCAACTCTCACATGTATATGGAGAGGGACAGAAGTGGTGCATCAGTCCAAAATGTACTAGTGTGTGTATTATTCCTAGAATAATCAAGGGCTTGTGACGGTTGTGTTCATACAGTGGCTATTCGAGAAATGAAAGAAAAAAATGCCATGTGTGAAACACCAGTTAAAAGATCCTTGGAACTTGTTAGAAGTTGAGGTTTTGATTTTTTTTTTCCACTTGTAAAACTTAAATACTCAGTGGTAACATACTAAGCCAGTTGAAAGCATTTCTTCTCAGGAAATTTCCTGATTTTCACCTGAACAGACAACAGAAGGAGAGCAGAACTCATATCCCAAACACTGTATTTTTGTGAGGTTATTTGCAGAGCATATTAGGCTAAAAATAACTAGGTTTGTTTATTTCAAAATGGTTGCTGAGCATTATTCACCCATATTGGTGTATCTTAGCTGGAACTTGAAGTTTTTGCTGAAATAGGTTCACTAAGAGACACGCCCACCTTGATCCAGTGTACCAAAGTGATTTGGGAAATGATGAAGCCCCATTTCTGCAACTGTGACCAGATTTCCAGATTTGCTTCAAGTTAAATGCCTCAAAATGATTTCTGTAATTATTTATCTCTTTCTTCATAAGAGGGGATGACACACGCACTCTAAGACAAAAATCTTAATTCTCCACAGGTAACTATTCCATGGTGGTGTGTGTAGGTTTCTATAGTACTGGATGGCAGGCTGTGTCTTTTGCTATGTTTGTTTTCTGTCAATGGCAACTTTTATTAGAATTCAAGACGCAGAATAACATGTTTGATTTACCTGTTTTTACTGGAAGGGATATGTAATTTCAGAGCCCTGGTAGAGAACTTTGAATTAGTTTCAAATTCGAAGCATCTGTTGTTTCTGTTTCCATGAAACACACAGAGCCTTCTGCTCTAGATGTATCATAGCCAGTGTGGAGGAGTAATAGCCTGATAACAGTTGAGGTGTTATGGTTTGTGAAGAGTCATGTCTTTTCCTTGCTCGAAGGGAGGAGTTGAAGGGGATTGCATTGAGCATTACTCCAAGATTTTCTACTATCATGCCTGCCCCAGCAATTGTATATTATCACCTGTGCAGTTGAACAAAAGCACTATGACAGTTTGAGCCACAGGAAATTATTTTAACAGTATCAAATAGGAAGCTAAATTATTTACAGAAAATCTAAAAATGTATATGCCCACCAATGCCTTTTTTACCTTCTTTTTCTGACCACAACCTACCTGAAACTATGTAAAGGAGAGGAGTTTTACCTGCAAGTAAGACTTCTGATACACTATAACTTCATCTCCACTTCTGCCTTAAAATTACACCATTACTTTAAATTATTTCTCATTGTAAGAAACTTTACATTCTTGTTGATGTCTTAGCTCTGTCAAGATGAGAGCCCTATCAAGCTTTCTATGTAATTGAAACTCTTTGGCAATCTGAAAGTATCAGCAATACTATTCCTCTGCTTACTGTTAAAAGATTTGCAGAAATAAATGGAAACCATGTAAATCATATGTGTAACAAAAATGTCTCTTGCTATCTGCTGGAGTATTTTTTGACATTTCACGTACCCTTTTGTCTCTGATTTAAGTCACTGGTATTCCTTCAGCAGTATAGTGACCCTGTGCTTTACTTCTGATTTCCATGAATCTAATCCAGTGGTTACTTCCTTTTTCTCTTGGGGGTATTTTCATCATTTTAACAAGACCAATGAAAGCTTGGATACAGAGAAGCTTTAAAATATAAATTCTGTGTTTCCTTAAAGATATTTTTGAACAAATGAGACCTTTCACTTATGACAAGTTGATCATACTGCAGGAGTTTTCCTGTGTTCTGCAACTACCAGAAACATAGAAAAATTAATACCCCAGATGGTACAGAAAATATGTGTGTGCAGGTTTAGTGATACTTTGAAATACTGATTTTCTTTTTAGTTCATAAAAATACCTGCAGCTGAATTTTGGCTTGATCATACGTTAAATGAGTGATTGAGAGAAGCTTCCATAGTTAAACAGAACAGTGACAGATTAAGACTCAGTTTGTTATTGAGTGTTATTGCTGTTTTTTGCACAAACAAGGACTTCTCAGGTGGAAAATTATTTCAGTCAGTTCTCATACAGCTGGAGACAGATATAAACTTGGTAATTCAGGACTTGTGGTACAGCCTTTCACAATACTAGTGAAGCAGGAGCAAAACAAATTAGTTCCACTAAGCATTCCCACAGTCCTTAAGTCTTTGTTCTGACACTGAACTAGGTAACCCAAATATAGTTACTGAAAATAATTTTTCAGCTTGTATCATTCCTGTTATCTACCATGTGACTCTTTAAAGCTGGATTGACATACTGCCAAGAGGAAACAAAATGTTTAAAAAGACAAACATATCTCCCAGGTTCTCTGCATTGAAACAGTTGGGACTTTACTTGAAATCCTAGAATAGACAGTCACTTGTAAAGTTAATATATTTTCTCATAAACAAGTCTGGAATGCACCAGGGTCTGCAAATAAGGCTTAAAATTTAGTTTCAGTCTGTGTTTTTACACTTTTCTTTTACAGAGCAGCCAGCTTCTTTTATGGATCGTAAAAGCGGGTTCTTTGTACACTAGTTTATCTGTGATTTAAGCTGATTATTTGTCCTTCTTAGTCCAAATTGGTGGGTTTCAGTCTCATTTTCTTTAATACATCTGTATTAATTAAAGTCTGTGTTTAAAGTGAACTTAAAAATTCCATGTTTCCCTT